TATGAAAGACGTTATGAATCACATTTGGCTCAGAAACTCACCAAAACTAGATAAACCCAATATGTGATATAATACATGTCTTTTATAAACACATAATAATTTTAAATAAGATTAAATTTGATTTCAAATATTAAGTATTTTATTTTAAGAGTTATTTAATAGTTTTTGTCATTTTATTTATAAATAATTTATAAAATGTCTCAAATAAAGTTTTAATAAAAACTTTATATCTTAAGAGTTGCTTTCTTTGCTATCTAATAATAAATTAATGTTAATATTTGTATTTTATTCTGTTTTATAAAAATCGAAAACTTTATTGTTTTTACGATTAATACAAACCGGATGTAATAATCTTACCGTTAATTTAGTAGATCTACTAATATTTATATTCAATACAATACTATAATAATCCTATTTTTTGTAGCAATTCTTTCTACCAATAATTGAATTGTGATTAATGTCTCAACAAATCTCATCTCTGGAAACATTTTTAATGAGAAATCTCTTTCCATTATTTACTTAACAATTACTCACTTATTATTGGATCTCAATTTAGCCGATATTACAGTACTTATTGATATTCAAGTACAATATAAAAGAGTATTACTGATAAGTCTTTTCTTATAACATAACGCAAATTGAGATTAATTTGATATTTGGGTTCACTATATAAAGGACTTATCCAATTGAATCAACTTTTCCATAAGACTTTCAACAATTGAATTAATTATTTATATATTTAGGACAGAATTAAAGTAAGACTAAAGTTGATACAAATTATTTGCGAGAAATTCTTTGAAATAAATATGTTAGCAAGCTATATAATTCAGTGAACACACAGTGCTACATAGCACCTGCACCTACACCTGCACCTGGAAGCCAGTGATGATGTTGAGGGATGAGTTTGAGATACTTGTGCCTCACATTGACTGTGAAATACACTACCCCTTGGTTTATGAGCAGATGTATGGGTAGAGCGCAGGTCTGTTTGTTTTTGACTTGAAATATTCAATTTCATTAAATAAGAGTGCATTGAATGCTATAATGAGAGTATTAGTTGTATTGCATTACAAAACAAGAATTTTTCATACCTTACACATAATAAGTGTACAAATGAATTGTATATTAAATTCTCATTTTTATAACTCACAGCTCAAAATCCATTAAACACTGTATTAAATGAACAATTGTTGCAATCAATTGATGGTTGCATTCGTGAAACGATATGTTTGTAATAAAAATAGATTTCCAGTGTATTTATACTTATAATAATATAGATTTTTTAATATATTTAACACGGTTTACCAATTCATGATATTCTCATCGATGTTGTGACAAATAATGTCAGAATTACAGGCAATTATAGAATATTCTTTGCAATTAAATAAATTCATTAATATAGACCTTTTCCAAAGGGGGTAAGCATTGATTAAATACTATTATATGCTATGCTATTATATTCTGATGCTATGTTATGTATGCACTCATTATTCTGTGCTATTCATACATATCTAATAAAATTGTCTTCATTTGCATTACCCATCCATCAGTTACTATCAAATCCGAGTGTCACTGAAACTCTTGAATTGCAAACAAACCCACAAAATAGAAGTGAGTATTAGTGACAACAAGAGTCACTCAACACATCCACAGAACAACACCTGTTCGACAAGTGGTGGCCAATCGAGTGGTGGCAGCGGATCCGCACAGCACTCGCCCAATGAGTCGTCGATAGTGTTTCCGCAGTGTATTGTCAACGGATGTGCTGTCAGTAAGACATTTCAGATCCTATACAAGAACGAAGAGATTCTTCTGGACGACTACGTGTCGTTCAAAGTGTCACTGATAGTCGACTCGCAAGACTGCGTGAAACAGGTCCGCAAAACTAACTTCATATTAGATGTGGAGCTGTGGTTCACGGACCAGGAGTTTGGCGCCGATCACCACAACTCGATTGAATGCGTGTCTTCACGGCAGCTGACCCTCCACTTCGACATATGTCGCGGTCTTCACTATTATCTTCCAGTGATGTTCGACTACTTTCATCTGTCGGCCCTAACCCTCTCCATCCACGGCTCGCTCATCACTCTATGTCAGCCCTACATCAGCAACAGGAGCTCCAAGTCGGACAAGAAGTTTGGCAACTCAGTTCACGCCACGCCTATCAACAGCTGTAACTTCGGCTATGAGGCCATTGTGTCGAGCGGTTCCAACCATAACAAGACCAACGACGAGATCAAAGAGATTCGTTACCGAAGAGCGCAACTCATTCACTGGCGACTGACGGCAATCCTGTTGTCATCCATTCAGAGCTTAAAGCGTAAAATCGATGAGTACTACGGAATGCTGGCCCCCTGGCAACAGGTCCGGTGCCAACAACAGCCCATCACACCATGTATTGATAACTTAAGTAAATTGGCTCAAGAGTGCTATAAATCGATACTCATTAACGAATCCAATCCGTCAAACGATTTCATATCATTTCAAAACGACTTATTTATTATCAACGACGCGACCAAACCGGAAGACTTCATCACAACCGTGGAGAGCGATATGGCATACCTGTGCGGTGTGGCTATACTCCTGTGGCAGCAATTCCTGACAGTGGTCTACAGTTCGGACCGCATTAACGGACACTTATCTAAAGTACATCACTCGCAACGAATCAAACGCTTTTCGGAGGCTTTCTTTTGTATCGAGAAACAGAAAAAACATTTGCATTCAATATGTGATAACAATACCACTGTTTTCACTGAAGTCAGCGATTCTATTCGGAAGTCACCCTATCTTACACTTCTGCCTCCATGTGATGTTGAGGTCAGACCCCTTGCCATCATTTTATTGGTCTTAAGACAGAGTTTTGTTATTTTTTACTATTAAGATAATTGTTTGTTTAACTTATTAATATATTTTGTGGTATATTATTAGATATTTTTATTTATGCCCATATTAATACAATATTAATAATCTATTGCATAATTTGCTCATTTATTTGGCAAAATATTAATCAATTGATAATTTACTTCCCATTTGTGACAGTGTGTGGCACTCGATGGCGATTCCACAACACTTCCCATAATATATGAAGAGAAGTTTGACTCGGAAGTGGCGCTAAACAAGATCTCGACGATTAGTAACATTTATTTTGAGGATAATTTTGACAATTTGCTGCAATTGAATGGCGAGTCGTCGACGACAATGAAGCGTAATATGAGAGACAAAATACTGAACAACTTATCGCGTCTTAATTTCGGCACTTATGGCCGTCTGAAAGAGGAGTACAGTCCTATCGCCACCAGAGCCTCGATGACCAACTTATCGCCGACCAGTGATCACACATTTGAATCTCCTTTAAAGCCACCGAAATGTGACGCCAAAGAATCGGTGACTTTAGTTAGCTATAAGAGTATTGACCACTCGGTGCAGACCAAACCTCTTGAGCCGACGCACACCCCGACCAATACCAGTGTCTTAAATGAGTCGATGATTTCCAACTCGTGTTCACTGAATAACATAAAATCCCAAATTGGCAAAAGGATGGTCAGCAGCGAATCATTGCCTGATTTAAGTACAAACGAAGTCCTACTCAACCTTAAGAAGCAAATTCTGTTACACCAAAGCCGTACCCCTACCAGACCTGTCCGACCCCCTCATCAGTTCCGAGACGGCAAAGACAAGTCTGAACGCAAAAGTGCCGAAGAATTTCGCGGAACCATGTATTTCCCTCGACCCCCCAAACAGTTCACTATCGACGAGACCGATGAACCCGAGGATCAAAACTCTCAAATCGAAACCAAAGAACTACTCAATGGAACCAAATATGAGTTAAACAATAAATTCTCTCATTTAACCAAAAATAACAAAATGATTGGCGAAGATCTGAACATAAAAGAAAGTGAATACACGATCGTAGAGCTCTTAAAGTCCAACAAATGTCTCATCTGTGGTCAACTCAAGTGCAGCTGTTGTGATGACTCGGACTGTCTGCCGGCGCTGAGACGGGTGTCGCAGATTGGATCAGATCTCGTGTCCTTCGTTAAGGCCAAAGAGGACTTCCGGCAACAAATAGCGTCCAAATCCAACGGTTGGCTTATTTACAGCGATTTCCCGAGTCTGGCCTCTCGTATCCCATACTTTCAGTGCGACCCAGACTTCCGTGCGTTCAGGTAATAGGGCTTCCCTTTCATGAGCTCTCGTTATGTTTTATACAAATTATGCACTTTTTTATGATTACTATATTATGTTAAGACAATGTTTAGAATAATCGATTTGTTTGGCCTTTGCATTGATCTTAAAATGCATTTCACTAATTATAATAAAAACAAAAACTCTCGAAACATGTATTGTGTGTTTGCCATAAGTTTTATACACCTATTGTTAAATATTATAGTACGGTATTTGCGTTAACCCCGACAGAATAGGCATTTCCAGTGCTTTCTGTTGTTTTTAAATGAGAGTCTTATTTATAGAGACATTGATTTGAATTTCGAAACTACATTATGAGGAATGCAATCTTAATCTAATAGGTTTTGCATGAAATCAATAATTTATGGCATATATTATTGAATTATCACGAGTTTCACTCATTGCTCCATTCGTTTGTTGAGTCACTACAGGTATATATAAGTCATTGATTGACATTAAAAATGAATGGATTTCTCTCTCCTCAAACATTATATATCAAATCTCTGCCAATACTACCTGTCCTTCGCATATAACCCGGATCTATATGATGTTTAAACGTTCAGTTTGTACGCTAACTATGTTGTTGGCGTTCAACAAACATACAAATCGTATTCATTTATATATCCGGTTTGTGACCCATGTTTCGCCTCATATGACAACTAATCTAAACTAAATTGTATTTATCCTATAAAGCATCCAGGTATCAAATTTAATTAATCACCGGCAAAAAACTCCATCCCTTAAAGCATTAGTTAATAAGCTTAATTATTAAACACGGCTTACAGGCCTACCTGTGCCGCTCTTTTTATATTTTTTATTCGCATTACTTTTTAATTTATTTAACCATTAAATTGTAGTAATTTATTAATTTTACAAAACCATCGATTTTTATGACACATGTTTTATTCATTTCAATTTCATAAATAATGAATTTCTCTTTTATTTTAACGTATCGTCAAATGTCTCAAAGTTTGACAAATTTAATAAATTTACAATTTCTCTGTAAATCTCTCTCTCTCTCTCTCTCTCTCTCTCTCTCTCTCTCTCCATTCACTCATTCACTCCCTTCTCGGTAAAGTACATGAAATTCATTTCATTGAAGACCTACATATGGTTAACATATTTTCTGTAATATTCAACCCATTATTAATTGAAAGACAATGTATTAACCAAAATATGGGTTTGTTTCTGAATTATACAGAATTAAATGGAAATAAGTTTGTGATAAATAGAGTCATAAAAGCCTTTTAGTGTAGATATGAATGAATATAATATTTAAGAATTATTCGAGTCATTAGGAACTGAATTTCAATATCTTATGACTATATCATAGGCTATGAAAAACAAATTACACGATTTGGGTTCGCATTGGATTTGCATTGGGTGTGGATTTATGTCACGAACACAATAGGGCTAACACTTGTTTTTTGAGCCATTGTCACAACATTAACCAAATGAATGAATGAATCAATGAATGAAAGCTTCAATTTTCTCACTCAATATACGGTCGCAACAAATAGTCTCATAAAACGCATCATTTGTATTAAAAATCTTTTCAAAAAACATTTACTTGTTTGAAGTTTTAATAAATTAAATGTAAATATGAGTACTAAATTAAATCTCCTGGTTTATTTTTAGATATTATTTGTTATGCATTTATAATAATATCACAATTTTATGATTGATTTGTTTGTGAAGTAAAAGGTGTTATTTTTTGTCAATTTATTTCTCATTTTTAATGCATTAATGTCTTTCGTTATATATCAAATTTATGCCAAATGAATGCTTTTACTGCACCGGTATTTACTATAAGTCCAGGTTTTGAGATGTGAAACAAAAATAAAAGGGAATTGAATGGCAATACATTTAGACAAATAGACGTCTAATTCTTGAGATGTGTAGTTGTAGTGCACAACCAACTGATCATTAATTATCGATTCGCTTAACACTACAGAAAAAGAAAGTTTTTTACAATTTTATGGAATATTTGCTCAGAAAAAATAAGACAAAACTATTTTCAGACCTTAATTACTATTGTTTACTCATTTTATTCAATTTGTTTGCTATAGTTTTGAGACGACAAAAGAGTGCTATAAATGAATAAAAATCCGTTTTAATTATATTGGGCCCATAAAACAATCGCGGTCATTTATTTGGAGTTATATTTGTTTGTACTGTATAGTGTTATATATAATTATACTGTATTTTAGTTATATGCGTTATTTTTGACTACTGGAGTTATATTTATTGCACACTTATAGCGCATCGCTAGACATTTGACCCCAGCATCCAGATCATTAATTAAGACAATTTGTTAATTCCAAACATATATACCGTAGTTGTAAATTTCAATTTGCAATCTTTGAGTGCTATTTATTATTTAAATAATGTATTGTTATTCTAGAAATAGTGATTAATGGTTAACGACCATAAAAATTTGATTACATTAATTGTAATATATTTTTCGTATATGAAATTAATGAGTTAATATTGGATAATAATAAGATAAATTCTACTATCAATCAGTATAAGTATAGAACTTTCCATTTAGTACAAACTTGGTTACATTTATATACTGCTTATTTTATTTATATAATCTTGTAATGATTTATTAAGTTTGAAGCCCCAAATTGTTTGTGTTATATTATTAAAGTAATATAGCATATTCTTGAAGATTTAAAGTGTGTACTGTATATGATTAAATTATTGTTTAAATAACTATTTTTTCAATTATAAGAACAAACAAGGCTTTTTAAAATGCATATGAAAATATTTATTATTTAAGTATTTATGTTTAAATCTCATAAAAATGTTTAGAATTTAAACTAAAGTCTTGGACAAACAACTTTAAAAGTATGAATTTAAAATATTTTTCTAACAAATGTTAACACTTATAAAATATAATTAATTAAATGGTGATTATTTTCATACATTACAAAGGCTTTGTGTGCACCTAAAATTGAAAACTATTTATTTTATCTAATACATATTTTATACTTGTCTTATAGTTTTTCACTCAAAGAATTATTCTTGCACAGTATAATAGGTTTAAATTACATTTCATTTGAGAAATAGTGATTAGAGCTAATGATATTTTATAAACTTTTTATATAATGATAATTTGAAATATGTTCTTAAAAAAGAAAAAAGAAATTTTTTTAACAAATTCATGTTTTGATTTATATTTAAAGATTCAAATTAGAGAGAAAACGCCTCATTTTTTCTGTATATTAATAGCCATAAGAAATATAACCCATAATAATGTTTAATTATTAAATCGATACTACTTTCAAATGTGTTTATTTATTGATCGAAATGAATGATTTAAATTTTTAATATATAATTATTTTATGTGCAATTAAAATAAGTAAATATCGGAAAAATATTCTAACAAATGTTAACACTTATAAAATATAATTAATTAAATGGTGATTATTTTCATACATTACAAAGGCTTTGTGTGCACCTAAAATTGAAAACTATTTATTTTATCTAATACATATTTTATACTTTGTCTTATAGTTTTTCACTCAAAGAATTATTCTTACACAGTATAATAGGTTTAAATTACATTTCATTTGAGAAACAGTGATTAGAGCTAATGATATTTTATAAACTTTTTATATAATGATAATTTGAAATATGTTTTTAAAAAAGAAAAAACAAATTTTTTTAACAAATTGATGTTTTGATTTATATTTAAAGATTCAAATTAGAGAGAAAACGCCTCATTTTTTCTGTATATTAATAGCCATAAGAAATATAACCCATAATAATGTTTAATTATTAAATCGATACTACTTTCAAATGTGTTTATTTATTGATCGAAATGAATGATTTAAATTTTTAATATATAATTATTTTATGTGCAATTAAAATAAGTAAATATCGGAAAAATAGTATTTTGATTGATTTCTATCTCGAACTCTCGTTGAACTGAAATCAAACAACATTTTGATGTAATGTATGAAAATATATTCAAAGATAAATGAAATGTCAGTTAATGAACAATTTTTTTATACATTCATTCATTCATTCGGTTTTGTTTTACTAATTGTTTTATCGAAGAAAAGTTTTTTCTGGAAAAATATTTACTAAAATTATTGTTACGAATATCTCATAACTCAAAATATTTGAACCATTTTTATGGATTAATGGGGATGTAATGAGTAAATCAATGAGTTTTTGGTTTGCAATTCTTTTATTGCTTTCAAATCTATTCGTTTGTAAAAGATTTGCTATAATTTATTAGAGTTAATGTCTTGAAAATTATATGGAATTATCGAATAGAGAATGAGAGAGAGAGAGAAATCAATCAAAATACTATTTTTCCGATATTTACTTATTTTAATTGCACATAAAATAATTATATATTAAAAATTTAAATCATTCATTTCGATCAATAAATAA